GCTCTCTCTCTCTCACGCGCGCGCTCTCTCGCGCGCTCTCTCTCGCTTTCTCGCGCGCTCTCTCTCTCTCTCTCTCACGCGCGCGCTCTCTCTCGCTCTCTCATTAAATGTTATTTTTAATGGGATGACCAAAATATACTTTGTGGTAAACAAACACTTAAACACAAATTAACAAAGACCAAATTACCACTGTAACCAGTAGACGGCAGCAGAGGAGCACTTATTGGCTTATTAGTATTTCATTTCTACTTTTTGCTTTATATTTTGAAATTATAAAATCACAATTAGAAAATATCAAATCATCAAGAAATCAAATTTTTGCACTTTTTTTTTTGTGTATGAAGTAGGAAAAATCACAAAGTGCCTTGAAAAAAACTTTTCTTCAATTTGATCCTTCTGTATAGCAATACCGTTTATATCGATATACAGTAGTTTGATTCAAGCGCATCTGAATAATAGCAGAGGGCACAGAGTGAGCTGCTGCGGGGAAAGTGCATAATCCAATTTGTTCTAAACATGAGACATGCTTCATTTTAAGGGCTTTAAAATAACTCCTAAGATATAGTTAACTATATTATAGTTTAAAGTGGCTCGCCCCGTCAGATGCTCTGACAGACTCATGTGCTGCTAACAGAGACGCTACTTGTTTAATGCATTTGAGATGTGCTGTTTTCCTCAGTGCATAACTTAGATATCACAGGTATATTCTCCAACTGTAAATGTTATAAAGTCATGAAAGTATTTTCATTTTGCTGTCAGGAGTGCACAAGAATACTGTATGCATTAGGGCTGTCACGATTATTAAATTTGGCTGACGATTAATTGTCTAAAAATAGTCACGGTTGTTGCGATTAATTGTCTGTTTTAGAGCTTTGGCGATTATGACAATTATGCCGATTATCACGGTTAATTGTCTGATTTTTATGGCTTTTATTATATAATTGTGATTAATTTAAGGGTTCAGTACTCCAAAGAGAAAGGAAAACTTGAAATGGCATCATATGACCCCTTTAATAAAAAAGCATGTCTAATTAATTAAAATCATGAAACTTATACATTTTCACATCAATTTATTAAAAGTTTAACAAAAATTACATGTTTCGGGCCCTATGAAATGTTTGATTTTTTCTCACCATACACTTTATCACCACTTGACACTTTAAAATTGTCACTTTATTGCTACTTGCACTGCAAATTTATACTGTGAAGAATTTTTTTATTGATTAATTGTCTAAAAATAGTCACGGTTGTTGCGATTAATTGTCTGTTTTAGAGCTTTGGCGATTATGACAATTATGCCGATTATCACGGTTAATTGTCTGATTTTATGGCTTTCATTATATAATTGTGATTCATTTAAGGGTTCAGTAAATAATTATGATGTTATCGTTTAATATTTTGAGTTATGACCATTTTCATTTTGGGGATTTTAGTAGTAGTAGTAGTAGTAGTAGTTGTAGTAGGCTATGTACTTTCTACTGAAAAATACTAATAGGCACAATGTCTTCAAATCAAACCCAACTTGAAGCAACATGGAGTCGCAGTGCTTATGCACATCTAGGGTGCAAAATGATGTGCTTGAAGCAACATGCACTCCACACATACAAACAAAGAGAAGAGAAATGTAGGGCCCTATGAAATCCTTTTTTTTTTTTTTTCCTAAATTCAGTTCGTTTGTTTTTTCCAAATTCCGTTTTTTCCGTTTTAATTTTTCTGGATTCTGATTTCTTTCCGTTTTAATTTTTCTTGACTTCTTTTTAATAGTTAAATTAAATTGTATTAAAGGGGTCATATGATGCTCGCGATTTGATTTAAGTGTAATGACCTACTTTTGATTAATTCATTCAAAATTGGACCAATTCTGTGACATTCCGCGTTTAACTGTGAATTCCGTTTTTATGACTGGATTCCGTGATTCCGTCTGCGTTTTCCGCATCGCGCCCTAGAAATGAGTCATGAACTCCAGCAAGATGTCATTTTATACGAATCCCCAGACCTTTATCTACACATCAAGTATTATAACAGTGAACGAGCGCCGCCGGAGCACAATAGAATAGGAGCGCAATAATTGTCATATGTAGAATTTTAAACATACAAGTGTATTTTATGATAGGAGATAACAGTAATGGGGTAATCAAAAATAAAATGCAATTAATCTGTGCTCTTGTGTTTATTTACATTAATTTTTAGTTTAGTGAATTGAACTTCTGCTTTATAAAGCATAATTTTTGTTTTTAGATTCTAATGTTACAATGTTAGAATGTAATGTGACTTTAGCCCCTTTTTTGCACATAATGAATAGTATAGCCTACTCAAGGTATCGGTATCGAAAATTTTTGAACGATACCCAGCCCTATATATGACATATGATTTTTTTGGCCATATTGCCCAGCCATAATATCTATATACACACACACACACACACACACAGTATATCCCCTTTATACAACATATAGCTTACAGTAGGGCTGCACAATTAATCGAATTTCTAATCGCGATTACAATTATGGATGCCA